GGTCCAGGCGAGGGTAGATACCTGGCTTTAGAGGTGGGGCCCAGCTTGCAGGAACGTTCCCTGTGGCAGTGAGCAAGCTCATGGGTCCCAGTGAGAGACGGGAAAGGCATGGCTGAGCACACCTCGTGAGGGTCACGTAGGGGCAAAGCCACTTGACCCCTTGTCCTCCTACCAGGTGGCCGACAGCGAGGCAAAGGCAGGGACCCTGCAGCTGACAGTGGAGCGGCTGAGCGGGGCCCTGGCCAAGGTGGAGGAGAGTGAGAGGGCCCTGCGGAGCAAGGTGCAGGGGCTGACGGAGACCCTGGCCCAGAGCAGTGCCAGCCTCACCAGTGCCCAGGACAAGAGCCTGCACCTGCAGAAGGCCCTGACGGCCTGTGAGCACGACCGCCAGGTGCTCCAGGTAAGGTGGTTGCAGGTGATTATCTGGTGAGGGTGGGCCCAGTGAGAGCCAGCCAATCAGAAGAGGCGTGGAGGGATCCTGGTAGATCAGCCAATGATAGTAGCCTTGGTGGGGGACAGGGGGAGGACTACTTAAAAGCCATCCAATAGCGGTGGCTCTGGGCAAGGCAATAAGAGCAAGCCTAGGCCCACAGGTGGAGGGCTAATAGGGGTGGGGTGTCTGAGTGACCCCTTTCCTACTCAGACAAGTGGCTAGGCTGCGGGCCAGGCGTGCTGATGCCACGTGCCTCAGTTGTGAGCCTGGTCCGACATAGAGCATAGAGGGGCTCTTGAACCTGGTCCCATCAGCCCCTGTCCCCCAGGAACGGCTGGAGGCCGCCCGGCAGGCGCTGTCCGAGGCCCGGAAGCAGAGTAGCAGCCTGGGTGAGCAGGTGCAGACAATGCGGGCTGAGCAGGAGGACCTGGAGCTGCGGCGGGCAGAGGCTGAGGGCCAGCTGCAACAGCTGCAGGAGGTAAGGCCCGGCCCGGGGTGGTGGGGCTGTGTGAGGAAGCATGGGTCGTCACCCAGGTGGAGATGGGTTGGTCTGGTGTCAGTTCCAGGCCTGTGGGCCTCACAGCAGGCCGGCACCAGCATCCCTGAGCTCCAGGTACCTACCTCCCCCAGTGCCCCCCGCCCTGGGAGACCAGAGGGAGGCCAAGGTGGGCCAGCCTCATTGCGGTTGCAGGTGCTACGGCAGCGGCAGGAGGGTGAGGCGGCGGCCCTGCGCATGGTGCAGCAGCTCCAGGAGGAGCGGCGGCAGCTGCAGGAGCGGCAGGGCAACCTGAAGCACACCCTGGCCCAGGTGGAGGCCGAGAAGCGGGAGGCCGAGCGGTCGGCCCTGCGGCTGGAGAAGGACAGGGGGGCTCTCCGGAGGATGCTGGACAAGGTCAGCTGCTGCCCACGGCTTCCCCTCATTTCTGGGCCCTAGCCGGTGCGGGTCCCGTGTGGGTCCTCTGGGGCCTCCCTCCTCCTCAGGCCCCGTGTCTGTCTCCCCACCTAGGTGGAGAGGGAGAAGCTTCGCAGCCACGAGGACACAATGCGGCTGAGCATGGAGAAGGGCCGCCTGGACCACACGCTCACGGGGGCCGAGCAGGAGTTGGCAGAGGCCCAGAGGCAGCTCCAGCAGCTGAAGGTCTGGCCTCTGCCCACCCAGCCTGGACCCCCACTCTGGCCCAGCCGAGTGCCAGGCCGCCCTAGGCAGAGCTGGTGACCCGGCCAGACCCAGGGCCCTCAACCCCTGCTACCCAGGATCCCAGGCCCTTGGGTTGGGATCCCAGAGCTAAATCCTGGAGGGGGAGGGGTCCTTCCAGAGTGGGGAGAGAGATGCTGAAGGCGTGGGTTCCTGTCGTTTGTGGCTGTGGAACTATATGATGTACACATGAGCTCTCTTGTGGATCTGGCCTGGAAGACTGTTCTGTGTGAGTACTGTTTGTGTGCAGGTGTGTCACACATTTAGGAATACTGTGTGCATTTAGGTTTTCCTTATGCCTACATGTGTAAGGATCTGAATGTGTGTGTCTGTCTGAGTGGCGGTCACTGGGCCCCCAGACCCAGAACTCACGGGCTTACTGTAAGGCCTGGGATGGAGAGGACAAGGCAAGGATCCTGCCTGCACCGGCCGTGCCCCAAAGGGCGAGACCCCCAACGAGGGCCTTTCCCCACAGGCCCAGGTGGTGGTGAGGGAGCAGAGCCACAGCCCCGCCCAGCTGGAGGCAGACCAGGAGCAGCGGCTGGAGCTGCAGCAGGAGGTGGCGCGCCTGCGCAGTGCCCAGGTGCAGACGGAGCGCACCCTGGAGGCTCGGGAGTGGGCCCACCGCCAGAGGGTGCGAGGGCTGGAAGAGCAGGTACTCAGGCTCCCCAGATTCTGCACCTACCACTGGGTGCAGGACTCGCCCTCAGGGAGGCTGGGGCAGAACGGACAGAGCTGGTCCAACCTCTTCCCATCACCAGCAGCTCAGGGTGGAGCTGTGCTGGATTCAGGGCTCCAGTGACATCACTGGGGCCCAGTCCCGCTGCACGCTCAGGCAGACCCTCCCCCTCATGACAGAGGTGGTCCCCAGGAGGCCCAACCTCAGGTTATCCCACCAACCCAGAGAAGAAAACAGGCCTTTTTCCTGTTTGACCAGCCAAAGTCCCAGGGATGCTCCTCATCGGTCAGCTTAGGCCACATGCCCTTTCTGCCCATCCCTGAACCAAGGTTACTCTGATAGGCCAGGTATGGGTCACGTGCCAGCCCCTGGAGTCTGGGGGAGGCCCACGTAGTGATGATGGGTACTGGGAATGGCTTCTGACCCCTTGGGAGACACCAGCCTGCAATGTGGAGAGCAAAACTGGGTCTTTTCTGACGGGGAGCAGCAGGTCCCTCCATTAGCCACCGGCCTCCCTCTAGACAGCAGGCTGGGGACCCCGTTGTTTCTACCGTCCCTGTCTCCCCAGGTGTCCACACTGAAGGGGCAGCTGAAACAGGAGCTTCAAAGGAACTCGGCACCCTTTTCGCCCCCCTGCGCTCCCATGGGAAAATGAGCCCTTTCCTGATAGCCTGGAGGCGCGCAGCCCTGTGGGGGCAGAGGCAGGGCCTCCTTCCCAGAACAAGCCTGACCTCTGGGGAGGGGCTGGCACCCTGTGCACCCATGGCGGGGGCCCAGCAGTGGCTGCCCGAATCACTGGGGGCCTGGCCTGTAGACCCCACTTAGCACAGCGTCCCCTTCCTCCCGAGGGCCCATTCAGATCGTCCCAGGGTGGGCTGAGCCCATGCCAGGGGCGGGGAGACCCTTGTCTGTAGCCAGCCCTGGAGCTCGGGCTTGTGGGAAAGAGGCAGCCGGGTAGCCAGGCCCGGCTTCCAGCTCTCGTCAGGATGGTCCCCAGAGCACAGAGACCTGTATTTTCATACCTTTTTATAGTGTTCGCTGTTCAGAATTGTTTTTTTGTAACAAGACCACATTTTCTACAAGCAGTTTTTACAGAAGTGTTTACGCTGCTGTTGGCCCCCCTCCAAAGCAGGGGGTGTGGGCGGGGGGCAGAGCCCTGGGAGGTAGGCGCTTATTGAGGGCGAGGAAAGCAGCAAAGCTCACACCATGTCCTGGGTTGCCGGTGGGGCCGTGGCCTTGGCTTTCTCCCTCCTGAGGCCTCAGGTCCAGAGTACAGGCTTGGGAGTGACCCGGGAGGGAGGCAACGCTACGGCTCGCCTCCCCTGAGCCTCCCCCTGCTCATCTGTAAAACGGGACCCCAGCAGCCGCTGTGTGGGAGAAAGCCATGCCCGCCTGCTTCCTTAAAGACTCCAGGCTTGGAAAGCCCATGGGCAGCTATGCTGCCCTCCAGACCCCCGGGCAGCAGTGACCTCCGACTCAGTGGGCTTGTGAGGGGAGAGCCCGGCACAGAAGCCCCTTACCAGGCTATCTTCCCTGGCTGGTAGAGCTGCTAGGCAGGCCTAGTGCTTAACCACCGCGCCACCTCCCATCGCTGTGAATGCTCCGTCTCGTCTTCCGTCTCTGCCCTCTGGGCTGCGCCAGCCGCCTCCCCACCCTGCCGCCAGGAAGCCCTTGACCGCCCCCAAAACTGCATGCACAGACCTGACCTCCGGCTGTGCACACCACCCCCCAACATACGCCTGTGCGCACCCCAGGTGGTGGTGACCCCTCCCTTGCAGCAGCAGTGCAGATGGAAAGCTATAGCCTTGAGGGACGGCGGGGGCCCACTTTCTGGGAGGACAGGGAGGGGTGGGCTGGGGACAGTTGCAGACACCCACTCTCGCACACTCTGTGCGCTCGACTGAAAAAGTCAATCTTTTGTAAAAACCTGTTTTTAATTTTGTACGAAACAAAGGCGGTCTGTGCCCGGGGGGTCAGGGGGCATTGGGATGGGGCTGCGGTCTGTCAATATCCAAGCCGACCAGCTGGGGGTTGGGTAGGGGCACAGCCTACCTCAGGGGCCTCTGAGGGGGGCTGTCTTCAGAGGATCTAAGAGGGTACATTGGGGCCCCAGTCCCCACCCAGGAAGTAGAGCCTGGGCCATGAGGAGCCCCCGTTCTGGCCACAGGCTAGGGGAGGGGCCTGTGGCGTGGCCTCCCACAAGCCCCCGGGTTTGCAGTCCACTAAGGTTTGACGGGCAGGGTGTGGGGAGGAGGACAGCACCAGGCCGGGCCAAGGGCCCGTGGATCAAGGCCGCTCCGTCTAGCAGCCCCCGCAGCTCCGGGCGCAGGAGGCCGCCACAGACCTGCACAGGCCGCTGTTGGCCATCACGCCGCACTTGGAGAACTTGTCTCGGCACAGGTCCGCTGTGGGGACCGGAAGGCAGTGGCCGGGATCAGGACAGGGCTGGGTGACAGTGCCCCCCTCCTGCCCCCGAGGCATGGGCACTCCAGACCCCCAGGAGGTGGGGAGGGACCGACAGCTCACTGGGCAGGGGTCTCCCCACCTCGGAGGAGCTCCTCGTGGGCACAGACGGTGCGGACGCAGATCTCCTTGTTGATGACGTAGACACGGCGGAGGCTGTGGGGGTGGGGGGTGGGGGGTTTCAGCCCTGTGCGCGCCCCCAGCCCCCTGGAGTTGTACCCTAAGCCTTGGCTCAGATTCAGGACACACTGTCCTTCCTGAAGTCCCACCCTGCTGGCCGGATCCCTCCCATCCCCGCGCTGGCCGCCCTCACCTGTAGAAGCAGACTTCATTGAGACACTGTTTGCAGGGCTTGTGGATGGAGTAGAGGCGGGTGCAGGGGTACTGCTCCTCCCGGCAGTCTGGTGTGCACACGGGGGTCAGACTAGAGGCCCAGAGTCAGGGAGCCCTCTGGAGGGGCTAGGCCTCAGCCTGGTGCGCCCTGAGACTGGCCACAGAGTCTGGATACCACTCCTGACCCTTAGGCCTGGCCTGACCAATACCCACCACCATCCCACCCAAGACCCACAAAAGTCCACCCCATCCTCACAGTCTCTTTACCTGCTCATGCTTAACACACAGGACAGCCCAGCAGGCACAGGGTGAGCCAGTGGGAGTCTCCGTCTGCCGCGCCCGTTGCACGCGGGGTTCTTGTCTGGACTTCCTGGCACCACTAACTCCCTCTGGCCTGCAGGAAGCCCCCAGCACACACCCTGCCCCTCCCTCATCTCCCAGAGCTGCCTGGGGGCGGGGTGGGGGCTGGAGTTGCCAGCCTAAAGTGGGGATGCTTTGCAAGCCTCCCTGCTGTCCCCAAAGTCCCCAGCACCTACAGAGCTATAGCAAGGTCTGGCTGACTGCCCCCCAACACCCCCACTTCTGTCAGAAACTTACCCAGAGGTCCGGGCTCTGTGGGTTCCGACTCTGGGTTTGCGGGTTCTGCAGTTGGGAGGGAGAGACATTACTGGGAGGGCTCTATTCAGAGCAGGGTGGAGAGGACATTCGTGGGGGTGGGGGTGGGTGATGGGAGGGGGGTCACCTCTCCCAGCCGGGGGTCTCTGCCCTCATTCCCAGGAGTTCCGGCTTGAAAGGGGGTGAGCAGGGGCGTGTGGGCTACCTAAGTCGGTGACTTCCTGTGCAACTTGCTGCTGGGACTGGAACTGGAGCTGCTCCTCGGGCCGCGGGGACACCTCTGCAACTAGAGGGGGACAAGGTCTGCCCTCCGCCTCCTCAGGTCCCCATGGGTGTGCCCGCCCCAGCTGCCCACAGCCCTTTACCTTGATAATCGTAGTAGTCCCTGGTGTCTGAAACAGAAGTGGGATTAGAGGGGGTTCAGCTGACTCCGGTGACAAATGAGATCCCGGTTGAGCCTGTCCCACCCCAGAAATTCCCATGGCTGCCATCTCCCCCACCCCTCACTGGCTGACCCATGCACACTTGGAAAGCCAGGCCTTGACCCATTCCCGGGGTGGGGGTGGGGGGCGGCCCTTACCAATCTGGTCGCTGTAGTGGGTGTACTGGAGGTGGTCAGGAAACAGAGGCAGGGGGTCCAGGTCATATTGGCCCTGAGCCAGCAGGCCTGCTCGGGGAGGCAGAGTAGGCGGGGAGGGCAACAGGGGCACAAGGATGTTCCGGAGGACAGGCAGGGGCAGACAGGCCCAGGAGAGCCGAGAACCTTACAACCAGATGCTTAGGCCCTCAGCGTCCAAGCCCCTTCCTCGGCTGTGAAGATGCTTACACTCTGCTGGGACTTGGCACACCACTGCCTACCCCAGGGCCTTCGCACTTGGCTCTCCCTGCGGTATTCGAGTGGCTCTGCTGAGGGCCCACCTCTCAGCTCCCCCCCAGCTGGTTTCCACCACTGTCCCTTAGCACAAGCTAAAATTTATCATGGTGCCTGTGTTCTGTGTGCCTACTCTTGACAGTTCCCCGAGTTCAGGGCCTGGTCTGTGGCTGGATCCCTGGGCTGATTATCCCCTGAATGAATGCATGAATGAAATGTTAGGGGTGGCAGGGGACTAGGGACCACTACTGATAGCTCCAACAGAGACCCCCACTCCACAAGGCAGGGAGTTTGAGGGCCAAAATGGAATGAAATAATAGGATTCTTCCACAAACACGCCAAAGCCCCCTGGTGTCGGATACTTGTCCCCCAGGGAGCCTGAACCCAGGCCTTCTAACTCCCTGCCTTGGTGCCCCTTACTCCTGCACACTGGTACCCAGGAGTGCCAGTAAGAGAAGCATGAGCTCTGGGTACCCGCGGTTCTAGAAGCATGCCTGCCTGTTACTGTAGAGGGAGGGAGGGGGCCCAGGGGCACCTGGCCAGCCTTCTCTGGGGCCCAGCAGACAGGAGCCTGGGAGCTGAGCACTGAGGTCTGGCTATACAAAAAGAACAACCAGACAGTGCCATGAGCCCATGCCACGCACAGCAACCCTACAGGGCAGGCTAGAACTGCCCATGAGCTTCCTAGACGAATTCTTTCCAGGAGTAGGAAGCCTCTTCTTTCTCCCTTGAGTAGCTGGTGGTTTTGAACTGCTGGCCTTGCAGTTAGCAGCCCGACCTAGCCCGCTATGCCAGGACTCCAGGACTGGCAATAGGTCCCAGTTGAAGGTTACCTCAAATTCCCCGCCAGGTACCTCACTTACCAGGCAGGGCCAGCAGGAAGAGGCAGGCAGCTCTCATGATCACAGGTGGGCTGGGATGGTGTCAGAGGGCTGAGTGGGCCGAAGAGGAGGGAGAGGGCTGTACCCCAGGCCCACTAATCCAGGCCTGCAGACCCGCTTCTGACCCCCGCCCTGCATTCAGGTTGGAGGGCTGGACCACTTGATGACCCTGTGCTTAGGTCACAAGTGGCAAGGCCTTCAACCTGGCTGCAGGGCCGACCTGGACAAACAACCTCGGGAGATATGTCTAATCCCCACCCTGCTTTGCTCACCACACCCCACCCCACTCGGGCTCAGTACCTCTCCAGGCATCCAATACGCTAGCCATGTGAATCTCTGACCCCAGGCTTGTCCTCAGGACCCCAGCCCTAGCCAGCTAAGGCCCCGGTCTGGACTCAGCTGCTCAGCCAAATCCACCACCTGCTCCCAATTAGCCCCCCTGCCCCCAGCATCTAGCTCAGCAGGAAACCACGTGCCCCTGGGCCTGGGGGGCCTGGAGCAGCCAGGCTGGGCAAGGCTCCCAGCCCCCAGAAGCCTGCTCCTGCCAGGCCTATAGGCCTCCCAAGACCTGGCTGTCTTCAGGGCAGGCTGGCTCAGGAGACTGAGCTCTGTTTCTCTGCAGCAGGAAGCCTTCAGGGCGGAGACTGGAGAGGGCTTCTCTCAGTCCTAGAATAGCAGCCCTGGAAGAGACCAGCCTGGCACCCAGCCCAGGGGCTCTCCGAACCCCCTGATATTGTGTGGCAACGGTTTTGTGGGTCTGTGTGATTTGGGGGTGGACAAGGACATGGGTCCATAGCTTTCACCAGGTTCTTTAAGTTCAAGAGCTCCTGGTCTGGTCTACCCTACAACGCTGGCTACAGTGAACTTGGCCATATCAGAATCACTAGGGCCCGTGTCCAAGCCCAGCTCAATGGACAGCAATCTCAAGACTGTTGGCCTTCTGTCTGAAGAGCCGTATGGGCAGCATCCACACAGCTCTGCATCGCAGGAGCCCCGCCTTACAACTTAGCAAGTTTTAACTGGAAACCCTTGCTTTGCTGTATTTCTGCCACCACCTTGGGGGGCAGAGACATGAGCATCCTTCTCCTTTTCCTCCCAATCCTGAGTCTTCTCAGGGCCCCCCACCTCAAAGCCCCTGGCCATTTCATACATTCAAGACCCTTCCTGGAGTGGAGCAAACAGTTAGCATGCTCTGCTTCTAACCCACCTGAGGCACCTTGAAAGAAAGGCCTAGTGATGCCCGATTGACAATCCCCGGAGTGCAGTCCAGGCGATGCTGATAGAGAAGGCTAGCTATGGTCTCCACACTTTCCTGTCCACCCTAACCCCCCACCCCAGGCTAGTGGCTGAGCTGGGAGCCAGGCCAGTGGACGCTGTCACCATTCTAGGGGAGGCCCCCAGATGGGGCCTGATGGGGTTCCATGAGTCTGGGGGTACCTGTCTGCCTCCTACACCCCTGCATAGAGACATTTCCTGCCCCAGAAAGACTGGGACCCTGGTCCAGGCTTAGCAGGGTGGCCTCCCAAGGGGTGAGAGTCATAACGCCGAGTCCAGGTGGTAGGCCTCACTCCATGGGACCCAAGTCTGTCTCCAAGCAATTCCAGACTCCCACACTCTCAGGGGTAGGGGGGAGGGAGGGAGGTCAGGATGATGCCCTCCCCAGTTGACCCCTTTCCAAAGCTCAGGGCGGATCGCTGGAAACCAGATGTGGCCGCGCCACCGCACAGCTGGGAGCAATCTGCCACGGAAACTTGCCTGGCGCGCGCCCTCTCGCTCCCGTCTGTCTCTCTTTGTCTCTATGAGTCTCTGTCCCCGCGACCCCCAACGCCCCACCGTCCTCGCATTCCACCCGCCCAGGGAGAACAAAGGCCATCCAATACCCTGACGCCCCACTTCTGGCTCCCCCCAAACTTATGCTTCCCTCCCTCTACCCTGAGCCCTTGTCCCAGAGCGAGCGCCCCCCAAGTTTTTCAAATGGCTTCCAAACACTCCCTCAGATGGATCCGGGATCAGGGCTCCTACGACCAGCCCCCAGAACCAGAGGTCCGGTCCCCGCCTCTGGGAGCCCTCCGACGCCCCCACCCGCTAGAGAGCTCCCCCAGTGCGGTGAGCCACCAGGCTTGCACCTACCTGTCCGGGTCACTCTGTCGCCGGTTCCGTGTCTGCCCGCCTGAGCCGCCCCTTTGCCCGATTGCAGCCCCCCCTCCAGGCCCCCGACGGGCTGGCGCCCGCCCTCCAACCCCCCTCTTCCGCTGGGTCCTAACGCGAGCCCTTCACTTAGGCAGCCACGCTGCACCCTTGGGTCCTTGGTCCTCCACTGGTGGGGAGAGGGGGTCCTTGGTGGGAGGAGGCACCAGCAGAGCCCACCCACGCTTTACACATTGCAAAAAACTTCACCTTGTCACATCTAGTCCTCAGTGAGCAATCAAAGTAGGCATGTCCCCCCATTTCACAGAGGAAACAAGGCCCTCCCCGCTGGCCCCCAAACACCCCCGCCCCCCCCCCACATGCTGATTCCATCATCAGCATGCTTTTCAGCCCTAGCCAGGCTCACACCTCCCACAAGCTATGTCCCCAAGGCACCTCCAAGTTGACCAGAACCCAGGCCCAAGCTCACAACCTCCCAGTCCTCCCCTCAGCTCTACTGCCCACCCAGCACAGCTAGCCCCTCAGCTTCCTGTCTGGCTACCCACCAACTGCCCTTGCCAAGGCATATGCCCTGCTGCCCACTATTGCTGCTAGCCAGGACCCTGAGGTGACACCCAGATGGTCCCCTCATTTCTCAAGAGTGACATTTTGAAATGCAAATTAGGTCTCAAGGCCCCCTGCCAACCCCAGCCCCCATTTTCCAGTACCTGTAGGGCAGTATTCCTGAAGGTGTGCCCTACTCCAGAAGGTGGGGGCAGCTCACCTGAAGTTACGCGTCCAAGAGGTAGCTGCCACCTCAGAGACCCCTTTTTCAGGGAAAAAGTAAGACTTCAGCAATATCAGTGAACCAGAAACCATGACAACCAGTCCCACTGCTCATAGTGACCCTATGGGACAGGGAAGAGCTGACCCAAAGAGTTTTCAAGGTTGTAATCTAGTCCTGGTGGTGTCATGGTTAAGCATTGGGCTGCCATCCCCATGGTCAGTGGTTCAAAACCACCAGCAGCTCTTAGAAAGAAAGGCTGGGCTTTCTACTCCCTCAGCCTGGGAAGCCCCCAGGGGATGCTCTGAGTCAGCATTGACTCCGTGGCAGTGAATCCGTGAGACTTTCCAGAAACAGCGCCCCGTCTTTACCCTGTCTGGTTTGGACTGCTTCACCACTTCGCCGCTAAAACCCCCAAGCCCACTGTCGTTGAGCGAATTCCAGCTCATAGCAGGTACACGGTTCCTGAGGCTTTGTGTCGCGGGTGCAGACACAGCCTCATCTTTCTCCCCAAGAGGGGTTGGTGGGTTTGAACCACTCACCTTGCAGCTAATGGTCCAACAATCACTGTGCAGTGACCACAGCCAGGTTCTACAGCACCAGTGTCATCGGGTCCGTTCCAACTCATGGCGGTTTGAGATGTACAACAAACTGCCCAGTCCTGCGCCATCCTCACGATGCTTAGGTTTGAGCCCACGGTGGCCGCCACGGCGTCCATCCATCTTCCCGAAGGTCTTCCTCTTTTCACTGCCCCTCTGCTTCACCGAGCCCGACGGCCTTTTCCAGGACCATCTCTCCTGACACAAAGTCCGTGAGATGAAGTCTCGCTATCCTCCCTTCTAACGGGCGTTCGGACCGACTTCTCCCAAGACAGGGCCTTCTTCGGGCAGTCCACAGGGCTCCTACGACAAATTATCCAACATTCAGCGAAAGAACAGGGGAGGAGGGCAGCTTCTTCCCTTAATTTCAACAAGGAAACAAGAGCCCTATTGAATTTGTATTGTTCCTTCTACCTGCCCCAGGGCCTGGGTTCCAGCTGATTCCTCCTCCTGCACTCCAGACAGGCTCCTCCGTGGGTCCCTGATAAATCTCCCTTCCTCCCTCCATCCCTCCTTCGCTGGAGACGCTTTCTGCTTGACTGCACACAGCTGTCAACTTGCTCTTAGGTCTGTGACCATTTGAGTCTGGTCCCTGTCCCCAGGGTCCTTACCCACAGCATCATGAATGTGGAATGAGGTGTCTGGACTCATCAGGCACAGTGCCAGGCCCCGAGAAGCAGTTCAGTAAACATCTGTGGGACGAATGACTGACCCGTCCACTTGATTCTCCTGAGAAAGACTAGATTTGGGAAGGTGTGCCCCCCTGCCTCTGGGGCACCCCCAGCCCTGCCTGGCTGAATGAACCCTGAAGTGTGTGACAGTCATGGGGACTGCAGGCAAGAAGGCGGAGGAGCCGAGGATGCTCCCTGATTTGAGTCCTCACCCCCAGGGCTGCCCCAGCTCCCTCCCTCTTAGACTCCAGTTCCCAAGAAACCCCCTGAACAGAATCCACACCCACCCGTCAGTCAGAGCTGGTGTATGCAACGACTACGTGGCTGGTGGCTGTGCTGTCTGGGAACTGTTGCAGGCACAGGCCTCCTTCTGCTGGAGCCCTGGGGGTCAGCCCAGTCCTGGGGGTCAGCCCAACCCTGGCTGCAGCCGCTGCTACCAGTCCTACCAAGGCAAGCAGAAACACTCCTCTTTCCACTTGCAAAGTTTGTGCAGGGATGGGGGCGGGGTGGGTGGGCGGAAATGGAACCCTGTGGCCTCAGCATTGTCAGCTCCAGTGTCCTGGCTCTCAGGTCCTCTCTGTCACCTTTACCCATCTTCTGGCTCCTAGAGCCCAGGCAGAGACTGGAGTGCTAGGGGAGGTGGCAGCAGGTGGCCTGTGAGTGACAAGAGGCAAGTAGGAGAAACAGGGAGAGCACAAGCCCCTGGCTGATCCTGGTCCCCCCACCTCCTGGTCTGAGAGTCTGGGTCATCTGAGCTCTCTGAGCCTAGTTTGGGGGTAGGGTGGGTAAGGGGAGGCCCAGGTGACAGCGACATTCACTACATGCCAGGGCCTCATTTCTGTTTAACCCTCGCAGCAACCCTTCCTTTCGGGGTGCTCTATTCATCCCCATTTTCCAAATGTGGAAACAGAGGCTCGGTGTGTCTTAAGCATCAGAGACAGGAGGCTAAGGACAGTTGCTGAGGGGCATCCAGGCATTGAGGAGCGGGGGCTGCAACTGGAATTGTGGGAACTGGGCCTATAGACGCTGCTCCCTGCTCCCCACTCCCCTTCCAGAGGGACAGCAGCTTCACACTCACTGACATGCCAGGGATGGATGTCCAGGTCTGGCCGATGGGAGATCAGGGTCCCTTTAAGCTCCAAGTGAAGCTCCAGGGCTTAACTGAGCTGTGCCCCAGTTTTCTCGTTTGCAAATGGATTGGACTGTGTCCCTTGACAAACTCATTCTGGCTGATGGGAAGACCAGAGGCCTGTATCCATGGGCTTGAGATGGCCCCAGTCCATCCCATCCGCAGGTAGGTTTCCTTTGGGACTATGAAGTCACTGGTTCCCCGGGGCCACCTTCAGTTAAACAATGGCTTGCTGTGGCTGGGAGGTGACATTCAGCGGGCTCTGATTCACGGCGACCCCATGGACAACAGAAGGAAACACGGCCCCTTCCTGCTGCACGGCACCGTGGCCACGCCACGCTCGGGGCCACTGTTGTCGCCACTGTGTCCACCCGTCTCATCGAGGGTCTTCCTCTTGCTCCAGGGATTGGTCTCTCCTGACCACAGGCACAAAGTGCACTCTGGAGAAGGAGCCTTCTTGGAAGAAGCGCTATGCTCCCTCTTGAATGGCTGAATGCTAACCAATTATTTTTTTTAAATTTTGAATATATATAGCATATTATTCCATAGTTCAATCACATCAATTATACAATTGCTCCTACAATCAGTTTTCCAAACCAATTCTTCTTTTTAAAAAAATCACTTTATGCGGAGTGGAGATCCAAAGCCCATTAGTAGGCCACTGGAGATCCCCTTGCAGA